CTAGGATGCCTCGGGGGTGAGTAAAATGCAGCCTAATTTTCATTATTTGGTGAACTAACCCTTTAAAAGTGGGAGTTTTGTTTTTTTTAGAAGATAAATAGACCACCACAATTGACTATAAACTCCATTCTTGTATGAAATAACCTGATGGATGAAAGCTTTTTTTCTTTTTTGAAGTCTGTCATTATGGAAGTAAAATTGATTTGCGAGGGCTGTTTCATGTTGACTTTAATGATAGCTTCACAAACAGACCAAAACCGACAGCGTAGGCCTTCTTTCCGTCTCTTGCTGCCCTGAGGATGATTGTGCTCCATTCCTCTTTTCAGCCTGATGTTTCCGTTCTCTTGCCTTTGGACGAGCACCACATTTGCCAGCCTTTGTCTTCTAACACTGGTGTAGCGCGAGGCCTGGAGATTTTCTACTAACTCTTGACCGGCATTACCATCCTCTCCTCTGACTCGCAGACCTCTCGCAAATCCCCTGTCCTTCCCCTGACCCTCGTGTACGTGGCAGGTGTGCTCGCCCATTCCTTCTGTCTGCATATGTCACCAGCATTTCCCATCATCCCACAAAGAAGATACTCAGGCTTGTGAGAAGGCAGTGTAATTCTGGTGTCGTGTCGTGATTATGGCTGTTTACTACCATTTTGTTGCATGCATTCCCCCCCCCCGTCTCTTTTATTCTCTACCTTGTAAATCGGATTAGTCTTTTCTTCTGAATTATTATTTTGCTTGCTTGTTACTGCCACCCTACTGAGCTCGGTATTGGCTTACAGCTTTGTTACATTTATTTTTAATTGTTCTTTCTAATTATGTAGAAGTCTGAATAAATATTCTTTTTTTTTTTAAAGCATATTTATTCAATTTAAGTTTATTTGTACAGTGCTTTTCACGATACAAATCATTGCAAAGCAACTTTACAGCAAATTAAGTTTCTACAATATTTAGTGGTAGCTTATCAGTGGTGACTGTCAGTTAATGTACATATGGCAGAAATGTACGGAAAAATCGATTAAAGACGTAATCAAACGGACGATGAAAACTATTAACAGCAATTATTATATGATGTAATCAAACATAGTAAAATGTAGTAGTTCTGTATGTTGTTTCAGGTTTGGCATCATCTGAGTTTATCATCATCATTTATAGTTTATTTTAAACTTTTTTTATATTTATGAACCTTGTCAGCATAAGTCATTACTTTATCAAAAAATAAATAAATAAACACATAGAATAAACTGAATAAATTAAACATATAAAGATAAAATAAAAATTGAAATTATAATATGAACCTTGTCTTTAAATGTTTTATGCTTATATTTTAAAATGTTTATTAAAATGTAAATAAAAATAAAAATCAAGTTGTAAATATTAAAACAAGGTTCATAAATATAAAAAGTTTTTTTAAGAACTGAATAAACATCTTATTTATTATTTTAATAAACATTTTATTATAAATTATTTTTATACTTTTTGTATAAATTGGCCGATACTGATGTGTAAACATGTTGAGCATATGGGTGGCAGAAACAACTAAAAATACATTTCGGAGTTTGTATGAAAAGCTTTGTTTACTTAGTCATTTCCATCTGTCTTGATGCTGTGGTGTTTTGACTGCTCTTTTTTATTATTCTGTGAATGATACTAACTTTTCTAGCCAATTTTTTAAAAGTTGGTTATGTATAGTCAGCCAAGTGAATCAGTCTTTTGTTAAACCCTCTTCATGGTTTGGCCATCATTCATTCTTAAAGCAAGATTTGTGTTTAGTGATTTGATTTCTTTTTTTTTT